GCGTCAGAGAAAGTCTCTTCATGAGGTGCGGCGACATGATGTTCGGCACCGCACCCGAATCCAGTAGTGCTTGAGCATCAGTTCCATAAACTTGAACAGTAACTACTCAAAGACGCCTCGGGAAGACATCCGTGTGGCCCGCAAACCCGCGAGAACGCCCTAATCTCCTGGATAGAAGGCGCTTCATCTCCTTCTTTGCTCCTTCAGCGTCTCCACGGACAAGTTGTCCAAATGTTAGACCAGACGGCGCATTCGCCAGCTCTGACACGACGTTGTAGTTGCCGACGTGCTCCTGGAGTGCCGCCTTCTTTGAAACATTCTTCTTCTTCTGGCGTGCAGGCTTCACTCTCGGCACTCTCAGCGGCTCATTCCAGGGGATAGTTCCCCTAGGAGCTACTGGAGTGGGATTCAGCAGCCTCGGGATCGAAACTTCTTCACGGTTCTTCGACTGCTTCGGCAAGGCCTCTCCTTCGGCGTTGCGTTTCGTAGCTGCCACCAATTCTCCCTTGGTGGTCTCAGTTATGACCGTGACTTGCTTCGAGTCTCTGGTGGCCTTGTCACCGGCGTCGTTGGCAGAACCGCCTGCTTTGGGGCCATAAGCGCTTCCTGCTCCAGCGTTACCTTGAGGACGTGCATGGGCCACATTCTTTCTAGCAAAGCGGGACCAGCAAGTCTCCGTCGTGTGTCCAATCTTCCCACACGTTGGGCAACGAGTATCACGGTGTGGGTTGGAACGACAACGAGTCGCTGAATGCCCTGGTTCCTTGCAATAAGAACATGTCCAACTCGTATCACTGTCCCCTGGTGTCTGTCGTTTCTTCATCATCAGTGACAATTCCGCCAGCTGGTTGGTGATGGCATCAACCTTGTTCTCCAGCTTTTCCTGTCGAGGATCCACATCAGAACGCACCAGTACGCGCTTGGGCGTCACAGGTTCAACGGACTGCGCAGCCGTTTTCGCCGCCTTGAAGGCGTCACGGCCTGCACCAAAGTTTCACGGTCTTCATTAGTTCTTCGTACGTCGTCGGAGAACGATAGATCGCGAACTGAGCAACATCCAAATGTGCCATTACGGCATTGCGAAGCAAGCCGTACTTTGCCTCGTCGTTGAAACCAGCCCTTCTGTAGAGCTTGTCCATTTCATCCATCGAAGTAAGCAAGTTCTTACCATCCAGTCGGCAACTCATAGCCTTCTGGATGTTTTCTTCTGGCCTCGGTGTCTCCGTAAAACGGTCAGACAGGGCGCTCTTCACACCGTCCCAGTTACTGGCGGCCTCGGTCAGACTCCCATTATGACTATACGTGTCATAGTAATAGTCGAACGCGGCACCCTCGAGGTGGCATAGGATAGCTCCTGCCTTCTCCTCGTCAGGCTTGCCGCGCATAATGATGTTCTCGTATACGAACAGAAACTTGGAAACATCTGACCCGTTCGACCCATCGTAGGTAACAGGGTTAGGGACCGCACTTGTGTCTGCGTCGGCCCTCCACAAGAGTACCATGTTGTCGGTGAAATGGGGGAGGCGGTTTTGGGGAGCGTGCCGTTCCGTGGTGAGGGTTGGCCGAGTGTGGTCCCCCCCTTTTTCCCGCAGCGCCCGTCACCCTCTCTCTTTTATTTCTACGAAATTCCTTCCAGAAGCGTCCACGCATCCGGCCCGGATTCCGTCGGGCCGTCCGCGTGCGCTTCTCTAAAATTCAAATAAAATCTCGGACTACAGAATAAAATCTCCCTCTACAGTAAAATGCAAATATTTCCCTAAAAATATCTCACACTACTGTATATAAAAAATTGCGTTTTGGTGCTTTCAGTATAGTGCCACTCACGCAATAGTGCCATATGTCGAGGTCTGTTCCGGTATAGCACTATTGCGTGGGACCCCCTGTACTGGTTTAGTTCCAAACGGAAACTAATCCTTCAAGCCGTACGCCTGTTCGTCAATGTATGCCCGTAAATGTATGAAGTCAACTTTAACAAATACAAAAGTCGGAAAGGGACTATTCCGACATCTTTTAACCCCTATTCTGAATGGTCGTTGAAGAGCAGCTGGTGCTGCCAGAACCAGCCTTAAATCGTTCGTCAAGTCTGTTTCTGTGCCCGACGCTTATACCCTCGCTGGGCCTATTCCTCCTTCTGTTCTGTCTACGACTGAGAGCGGTAACAAGACAATACAGAAAACGGGTAATACTGAAAATCCTTTGTGCATTTTATCGTACTCTGTGATCATGAGGAACAACTAGAAAAGGGAAAAAAGAGCATACTGTAGTCGTTTCAACACCTGTGCCGTCCCTTTCACTAAAACGATGACTGCAGTGGAACAGAGTGTTTTGAGGACCTTACCATTTCCCTCTCTGCATCCACGTTTAGACTACGGCGTCTGTGATTCTCTTCATGCTACACAAAATTTATCAAATGCATGCTGGGCCCCAGATGAAATCGATCGAAGCACACACTGCTCATTTGAAGAAGGGTGACCATATTCCCTTCGCTCTGGGGAGATAACTTGTTCTCTGTCTTAGACAAAAAGCAAACCCAGAATTTTGCAAATCTGCCCTCCAAATCAAATAAAAAGTGATACCATTAGCGCCTTCCCATTCTATTCATTGGTACATCCAAAGCCTCTGCGTCTACCCACATGTAGGATGTCTGTCGACCCGAATCTCACGACGTATGACATGGAGTGAAATTCCCACCGACACGATGCCCCTGCTACAGGAAGTGAGCTCTAGTTTTGGAAAACCATCAATCAGTGAAAAAAATCGTCCTTCTCAGTCACTTTAAAAGAAAGTTGGGTCAAAGTGTAGATTTTGGGGCGACACCCGGCCAAAGTGAAATCTACGTGGGGCGATTTCAATGCGGTGGGGGTTTTTATAGGGCGACACTACTAAAAAGTGCTTTGCTAGTAGGGTGATTTTGGTCCATGGTGTCCTTTTGATGGGGTGACAATGCACGTTTTCTAGGGTGACAGAAAAACGATCGTAAAGTCACCTCCGACAAACTCATATTCGGGGATGTCACCCCATAAAAATGTATACCATAGTGGCATTTCGGCAGAGACCTAAATGTTAGAAAAGTCGCCCTAGAAACGCATGATTGTTTTAATGTCACCCTTATAAAAGCACGCCAACGCACGGTTTCGCGCTGGATATAGCGCTCTCAAAACTGAAACAATATAGTGTGGCTATAGAGGCCGCCCAGTGCGCACCACAGTAGCTGGCATACGGTGACGCGCGGTCACGCGGCGTACGTTCTGCCTTGTGAACCCGCCATTTTTCGGCGTCTACGTTCCCCAGCTCCCCCCCCGCACATCTCGCCGCAATGCCCTCACGCGCCTTCTTCATCGCCTTGCTCACCCTGCCTCTAGCATGGTGCACCGCGGCCGCGTCTCCAAGTGACCCGGAACCCGCACCAAAGAGCCCGGCGCCCATCAACATGCTTCCGTGGTATGGAAAATACTGTATGTCATTGTATGTAGATAGAGTGGGTAAAAGTTGCCGGTGTTTCGCATATGAAGTCACCCTATATTTCCAACTGAAATCACATCAATCTCAGAAAACGATCCAATGTCGCCCTATAGACACAGACAAAGATCAGCATGTTTCAACATGTCGTTTTCTTAGGGCGACGTCACCCTCGGAATTGGATGAATGAGGAACGTCACCCTTCAATGCCACCTCAATTGGGGTAGTCGCCCCCAAAACACCCCCAGGGCTAGAACTTCACCTCCCCAGGGGCATCAAAAGCCGCACCTGTCACCCCAAGATCCGCAAATGGCCCAAGAAAGTTTAGCACAGAAGCACTTTTGAGCATTTTTAAACCCCTTTTTCTTTGATATCTTCGAAACTAAATGCTCTGTTCAAGAATAAAGCTTGTAGTTTAACCTTCATTGAATAACTCCTCTCGTCTTTCGGCGTATTCAAACTTGCCACTTCAATACCGAAGAAAAAGTTATTGTGGAGAGCAAATAGTTAAACAAATAGTGTCCGAGCCGACCTCTAAATTATCTATATACCATACCTATTTTTGATATGAAAAGGCTTGCATCTTATACTGTAGTTAATTTTCTCGTCGTCTAGGCACCGATTTCTAAATGACGAGTGACCTCAAAGGAGGTTTTCAACTTATTCTTTTCTGTACTTATGCCCACTTGATAAGAAGAGGAAATATACCCACGCCATCGCACCTGAACTATTCGTTGTGAAATAGAGCGTTTTAGAGAGAACCGCATGTCCTTTCCAGTGGCTTCAGAAACGCCTCCCAAAGAAGCTTTTTTGAGCACTCTCGAAATGTTTTGCATTGATAATTTCGAAACCAAAACGCCTGTTTATAAAAATCATCTGGGGACTATCAGATTAATAGTCGCCACGTGCCATCAAGACTGCTACAACTCATTTTTCACGCGAATACGTTCAAAAGTTGGGGGTGCTCTATAGTTTTTTCGTGTACGGTATCCTCTAGTCTACAGTAGCTACCCTTCAACGGTAGTGCTCTGCAAGATGTTATGGCTGAGGAGAAGTACGTTAAAGAAATGGTGTCCAAAGTGATTTTCTAAATATGTGATTTAATGTATATATATTTGCAAAAAAATGCCTCAAGTCAGGCCAGACTGGACCTCATACTGCATTAGGCAAATCAATTGTCGTCTGGACACTCTAGGAGAGCTAGACACAAGTCCTGATTCGTCACGCGCACGGTACTATCATATTGTACCGTACAGCAAATCTGAAATAGACTGGGGCTTCATTCCGGCCGTTTGTGATGTCTTGTCGCGGACCGCACCAAAGACGATCTTCTACCCGCTTCCATCATTTGCATCCTTATTGCTAGCAGGGCTCACAGAATCCTTGGCCATGTCACATACCCCCTGACCGCCTGAAGAGAAGAATTTGTTCAACGACGAGGCTGCTTCTCATTTTGAGTTCGTACGCAGATCTGAACGATTCCGGCCACTATCAACTCTCGTGGCGATCTCAATTGAATAACACACTCTCTCAGGACTGCGATGGCAGAGAAAGACACCGGCGACAAGCCGCCTACAGAAAGAAAGAACACGTACAAGGAGGTTGAGCTTTCTGGGAGCGATGCGAGGGCGAAGCTTGCGGAGTTGATGGGAACCATGAGCGTTGCCGGCGTCGATGGCAAGCCTGCCGAAAAAGAATATAAATTTTGGAAAACACAACCGGTCCCCCAGATGGGACAGGACGATCAACTCGACCTGCTTGGTGATCATGGTCAGGCCATTGAGACTAAAACCGTTGACCAGGTATCGAAGAAACCTTACAACCTGATTGACTCGTTCGAGTGGTCAGACATAGATGTCACCGATGACAAGCAACTCGAAGAAACGTATCGTCTTTTGAATGAAAACTACGTTGAGGACGGAGATGCCATGTTCCGCTTTGATTATTCCCGGGAGTTTTTGAGGTGGGCTTTGCTTCCACCCGGATGGCATCCAACTTGGCATGTGGGCGTCCGTGTCAAGTCCAATAAGAAACTCGTAGCCTTTATTACGGCTGTCCCAGCGACCTTGCGTGTTCACATGGATTCCGTGGAAGTGGTAGAGATCAACTTTCTTTGTGTCCACAAAAAACTTAGAGCGAGGCGACTCGCTCCGGTTCTGATACGAGAGATAACAAGACGGGTTAACTTGCAGAACGTCTGGCAGGCAGTATACACGGCTGGGGCTGTCCTTCCGCGACCCGTCACGTCATCACGATACTACCATCGCTCGCTAAACCCCAAAAAGCTTATCGAAATCGGGTTCTCTCGGCTGCAGCCCCGAATGACGATGAATCGCACCATTAAGCTGTTCGCAGTGAAGCCCAGTGTTTCAACACCAGGAATTCGTGTGATGCGTTCGGACGACGTGCCTGCGGCATGCAAACTGTTGATGGGATACCTCGATCAATTCGATATGCATATTGATATGACCGAAGATGAGTTTGCTCACTGGCTGATGCCTAGAGAAGGTGTTACATATTCGTATGTTGTTGAAGATCCAGAGTCTCACGAAATTACAGACATGATCTCCTTCTATTCTCTCCCATCAAGTATCATCAACCACCCAGCCCACAAGACTCTCAACGCTGCATACCTATTTTTCGCAGCAGCTGCGAAGACTGCAATAATAGACATCATGCAAGATGCTTTGGTTTTCGCGAGGCAGAATGGGTTTGATGTATTTAATGCGCTTGACTTGGCTCGGCATTCTGAGTTTTTCAAAGATCTCAAGTTCCACATCGGAGACGGAGAGCTCCACTACTACCTGTACAATTGGAAGTGTCGTCCAATGGCTAAGGAAACGAATGCCTTGGTTCTGCTGTAGGTCTGCTCAAAAATATCGCCATGGCTGGCGGTGTGAGTCGTGAACCTTGCCTTGCATAGATGTCGTGTCTTGCTGCCGGCGGGCTGTTTTGTGTGCACTAGAAGGGTAACTGCAGTTGTCGGTGACGGTCACAATCCGAATGGACTAGGAAGTCCTTGACGGGTCACGGTATCGGGCATAAAGTTTATCGACTGCAGTGATAGTTGACTTATCGAGTTCCACACCGAACGAATTCAAGTCTTCGTCGAGTTGTGCGACGGATGTTGCTCCGATGATAGTACTTTGAACAAACCATCTGCTCTTGCACCATGCCAGCGACAGCTGAGTGAGTGTGAGGCCGGCATCATCGGCTATTTTCTGGTATTCAGCGATAGCGGCTGAGGCAAGACTACTTTGGAAACGCTTCATGTAGTTTGGATATACGGTGAATCGCGCTCCGTCTGGTACCTCTTTTGATAAATATTTTCCGGTTAGAGCTCCACCAGCTAAGGGACTGTAGGCAAGAAGAGGCATGTTTGCGTTCGATGGGGCACATGCTTCAGCCAAATGAGCCTCAAAGTCTCGATATATTAAACTGTAGTTGTTCTGGACAGAGACCGGTGCCGCCGCACCAAGTCTGCGTGCTACGGCATCGAACTGAGCCACTCCCCACGCTGTTTCATTGCTCAGCCCGTAGTTACGTATCTTTCCTTCTCTGATCAACTCATCCATAGCGGACACCTGTACCTCAAACGAGACACTCGAACGCTCCTTCGAAAAGTCATAAGCACCGGCACCGAACATCGGGACATACCGATCAGGCCAGTGAATCTGCAGCAAATCGATGTAATTTGTTCCTAATCTGGACAGGATGCCATCTACAGCCTCCCTGATGTTGGTTCTATCCACTCTCCGATCCTCACCTCGTATCCAAGAAAACACACGACCGGGTGCAGCGCCTCCTGCAACCTTCGAGCAGAGTACGAGTTTTTCCCGAAAAGGCGCACCACCTCGTTCCTTTATCCATGAGCCAATATATTTTTCCGTTCGACCGGAAGAGTCTTTTGTTGGCGGAACCGGGTACATCTCGGCGCAGTCGATTCCAATCACACCTCTCTCGAACGCATGGTCAAGCTGATCGTGAGCGTCGCTTTCTGAATTTTGATGGCCCCAGGTCATCGTACCTAGACATACTTCAGTAAGAATGAGGTCGGAGTTTCCAACGCGGCGTTTTTCCAGGTCTACGCTGCCGTCTGATTTTCTGGTGTTTACGCCTTCGACAGCTATCATTCGCGTACTGTTGCAGGAGCGAGGAGAAGCGACATCAAGTCTCTTTCTGAAAAGCGGAGACGATGACACAGAATTTTGGCGGATGGTCGGAAAAGAATGCGAAGTGACAAATGCCGCGGCCTTTGTCATTTTGTAGAAGGGCTCTGAAACGTTGCTCCAAAGTTCGTCAGTGAAGCTTTTAAGTTCGCAACAGCTCTGTGTCGCTGAAATTCAAAAGGCTGATAGGTGTCTCTTGTCCTGCTCAAGTAAGATATCGAACAAGAAGACAACTATGACACAGTACCCAGGGTACCGTACATCGGTGGGAGGCAGACAACTGCATATCCGGAAAGTTGTGGTCTGGGGTGCTCACGATGGGGGGTGCGTTCTCAAAGTGTCTACAGTAATTTGCAGCTCCTCGATCCAGAACAAGGAGAGCTACCGTACAATGCAATACATATTACAGTGAACCCTCTCGATATGGATACGCTCGGTGGACGTAATCCGTATCCATTTGCGGAGGTTATTCACATCCGGAGACCGTATCATAACGGTGTCACGGTGACCTGCATCTCTCAGAATGTCTGTGCTTTACTTAAAATTTTATTTATCATCGTCTGGACTGTGCAATTCCCCTTCTTGGTACGCAGAGATATCGGGACGAAAACCATACTTGCCGTTGATGATGCGGGACATGACAGCTTGAGCAGGAGGTTTGGAAAGGGAAAACTGCACTGAGGCCCACTTCGCAAGGGCCCTTTGTGACGTCTGCTCCTTGCTCTTTTTGCGCCGTTGGAACTCTGCACATATTTGTTGCTTTTGGGCGAGGTTAAGCTCAGAGCGCTTCATCGACGATTGTCGCTTGACGGGGGCAGATGGCTACGGTGCTGACAACACGCAATGTTTGCGATCAGAGGAGATTTATTGGGGGAGGACCAACAGGAGTATATGCTAGAAAGATGTTTTTGTCGAGAACGATGATAATTGCGAAGCCTCAGACGGGGATTGGAATTTATTGAGCAGACTGTGAAGGGATCGATCAAGAATGAACGGTTATGGGGTAATTTGTGCCTTGGCCGCTCAAAAGTAACCATAAAATACGTTTTAAGTAGGAGGGGTCTGTATGATATGCTTATTTCACATTGAACCCGATATCCAATTGAGGAATATTCCACAGACATTGTTTTTTGGTAAAAATTTGTAAGCTACGGAGTACGTCGCTCGACTTTTTATCCGTTTACGGAGGATATCCATATGGAGAATGATCCTTATCGGGAGGGTTCACTGTATTCTTACAGTTAGTGTAAACATACCAGTAGGGATGGCAAACGCATTATCATATCCTACCCTGTATCATGCACCGAGTGTGAATGTGACATGGCTGTGTTGGGACAGGCTCTCAGTGTTGCACTGTGGGAGTGAGCGGCACAATCGAATGCACGAATGGTTGAGGGATAAACGAAGTTGCTCTAAGCATCAATGGTATGAACGGTATCGTTTGCGATGCGGAATGTCTTGACTGACAGGTTTTGTCATCTGCATGCGTGCGGGCCCTCACCTGCCATGGCGATGAGCCCCTGAGCGAAGGGGAATGCTGCACGCCCGCGTTGCCAATTTTTTTGCGGAAAGTGAAGGGCAGGTCTCAGCCCTTGCGATAGAACCGGCGTGCAACTATGCTCATCAAGTAATACGGCTGTTCACGCTGTTACGCACGTACAGCCGTGTGCAGAAAAGGACCTGAAAATATCTCATCCATGTCAACAACAAATGGGATCAAAACAGGTAGTATGCATGTGAACACTGTTTATGTCGTTGTTCTAAGTGTTTAAGAATCGAAGAGCGCAAGGCTCAGAGTGGAAGGACAAAGCATGTAGAAATCAAAGTCGCTAAGAAGCGACTATGGCAACCACCATCACGAGACACGACCACAGGACATACTGAAATGCGCAAAACACATCACTTGGCTTCCTTTTCGGCCTTCTCACGGGCGACGCGAGCTTGATAATCGGCGAAGGTCTCGGCGTGATGGATAGCTTTCTGCTTGCCCTTGGGGTCATTGGGGTCAATCTCAGTTGGGGTAGGACTAGAGGGGGAAATAAAGAGAGGAGAAGTTAGAATTGAACAGTGAATAAAACGGAAGGGATCAAGGCGACCGCTCAAAGTATGGATGACGCGGTAACTTACTCACGGGTAGCTTCTCCACCGCCGAAGCCTTTGCCCTCTTCGCTCATTCTCCACTTGGCAACACGGACAGGAGCATGGCAGACGCGGGGAGCGGCAGCCCTGACGCGGAGTCCGGTGAAAGAAGTAGTCGGAACGAAAGCCATTTTCGATTGGGAGGGGGAAAATACAAGTTGGTCTACCGGTAGAGCACTCTGGATCTGGAGAAGGAGATGGACAACTTCCGCATGCAAGTGAGGGGCGAAGACTAAATAGTGGAGGAATGAATGGTTTATCTTGCATTTTGAGATGTATGCAATAGGCAGCTGGATTGGAGCATTGCATGTGCAAACTTGTGGCCATGGTGCGCTGATTGCCCCGGAGATCGGAAGCCCTGTGCAGTTGATCTCACTGGGTCTCCGCATTTGCATTACAGTTGTAGATCATTGTTGGGACTTTACTTACAGTGGAATCTTACAGCATGAGTCGCCTTCGGATTCGTCATTTGTGGCTCCGCACTCTTCGTGCTGGGGCTCTATCTCCCGTGCCCCAATCCGCATTTATCCTAAATCGTCCTCTCCGCGGACTGCAACCGTTTGGTATCCTCGCTTCCTTCGCCCCACATTCTCTTCATGTACATGCTCCCGGCCCGCCACCCACTCTCCAAGATTCCCCTTCACCTCGCCATGAATTCCCTCGCCCTCGCCCTAGTCGCCCCGGCGACCCCCTTCACCAACCTTACCGCGCGTGGCCTCGCCTCCCGCGCGCTGCGCACACGCAGTCGCTTCGTGCAAGGCCATCGCCAGCCCGCCACGTCGGCCTCGCCGTCGCGACGGACCCGCACCGGCGCAGCTGCGACGCAAGCCGTCGAGACCAAGCCACGGCCGCGCGCCGTCCGCGCACGTCTCGAGCGCGCAGAGCGGCTTCTGCGCGAGGTCCGTGACCAACGCACGCCCAACCTACCGTATCCGGCACCTCTGGCTTCCAATGTACCAGCTTCAGCAGCGGACTTGGCACGCATTGAGGAACAGGCTGCAAGAGCCGCTAAGAGCGCCGATGAGGGACCCAGATATGATCCCGCGTCAGCTGTGGCCTACTTTAAGAATCGCTCGTTTTATGTGCGGAAGAGACAACTCCAAATTGCTGTGCCGCTCACGGCTTTTGTTTCGAGAGTTGTTATAGACGTTCAATTGGGGAGGGAAGAGCGAAATCGACAGAAGCGCGCCGAAGAATTCCTGCAAATTGTCAGTTCTCTTGGTCCTGCGATAATTAAGGGTGGCCAGGCTGTTGCTAGCAGACCCGATTTATTACCAAAAGAATATCTTGATGAGTTGCAGAAGCTGCAAGACCGGCTCCCTCCATTTGAAAACGAAATTGCCTTCCAATTGATAGAGGAAGAATTGGGTCAGGGCGTTAACGAAATTTTTGAAAGCATCGATCCCACACCCGTGGCTGCGGCTTCGATCGGTCAGGTTTACAGTGCAACATTGAAAAGCACTGGTGAGCGCGTCGCCGTTAAAGTCCAACGGCCAGATTGCGAGCAAATCATTGCTCTGGACATTTATATTCTCAGGAATCTGAGTGGCACTCTTAACAGTTTGCTGAAGCTAACAGGGCGCGATATTGACTTGCAGAGTATCATTGAGGAGTTTGGAAAGCTCATATACGAGGAGATTGACTATTTATCGGAGGCCAGGAATGCGGAGAGGTTTCTCGAATTGTATGGCGACTTGCCCGGCGTTGATGTTCCCAAAATCTATTGGAGGTATACGAAGAGACGTGTTATCACCATGCAGTGGATGGAAGGCTCCAGACTGACCAGCGATACTCTAACGAAGGGTCGGTCGGAGGAGCTAGTGCGGGCCATGGTGCAGTGTTCCTTGCGGCAAATGTTGGAGAACGGATATTTTCATGCAGATACGCATCTCGGTAACTTGCTTGCGATGTCGGACGGGAGTTTGTGTTATCTCGACTTTGGAATGATGTCTGAGGTTGAGCCGTCGCAGAGGTACGGTATCATTGAGGCAGTTGTTCACATGGTCAACCGCGACTTCGAAGCCCTGGCGAATTTGTATGTCCGTTTGGGCTTCTTGCCGCCAGAAACCAATCTGGAACCTATTATTGAAGCCCTTAACGACGCTTTGCCTGACGTCCTTGGTGCGTCCGTCGGAGAACTGAATTTCAAGTCTGTCATTGACAAGCTTGGGTCCGTCATGTATCAATATCCATTCAGCTTGCCCCCCTACTACACAGCAATTATTCGTTGTCTCGGCGTTTTGGAAGGTGTTGCCATTCAGGTTGACCCCAACTTCAAGATTTTGAATGAGTCGTATCCGTACATCGCGTCCCGTTTGCTCACAGACCCAGCCCCCGAACTACAAGCCGCTCTGCAGTGCCTTCTGTTTGACGAAGGGCGACCGAGGTGGAATCGGTTAGAAAGCCTTTTAGACTCTGCGTCCAGTGCGGGAGACTACGATGTCTCGCTCGCAGCGGAGCAACTGATGACGTTTTTGTTGTCCCCTCGAGGCAAAATCGCACGATACAGCCTTGCAGATGAGCTTACCGCGGAACTGGACAGCCTTGGCCTTGACCTGGCGACATACTACACAAGTATGTTCGCTCAGACAGGGAAGGCAGCAGGAATACGTCTGCCCACCATGTTGAACAGCCTCCCACCCCCGACCAAGACCAGGTCTATGAACAACCTTGAACGGCTGACGGAGATTTTGAGCAAGAGCAGAGGGTTCAGCCCCTCAAAAATGTCGCCGCTTTTGCGGAGAGTTCTCAGGGAACCTGAGAGTCAGCGCATCGGATTGGAAGTGGCAGTTTCTCTTGCTGAGCGGGTAACGTCTCGCGCCATTAGACTAGCCTTCGGTCTTCCTCAGGAGGAACCACGGAACAGAGCGACTCCATTATAGTGCAACACTGCTTGAGAATTCGCTACGACCGACCAGTAAACCTGCTACAGTGTGTGTGAGATGGAGATTGCGAAGACATTTGGCAGTCGTGATCATTAGCTCCCTTCGCTTCTGCATCCCTCTGCACTGGGGACAGAGCGACAACGCGGAATTGGGTGAGGAAGAACCTACTGTGCTACTATTTACGAGAGTGTACTTGAATCAAGTCGCAACCAACATATGAACAGAGGAGAAGAGCATCACGGAAACATCTCCTAGAAACAATTAGAACTTGATAACTAAAGGCAGGAGCTCATCGTCATTGACAGTTGTTTCGACTTGTTTCAATAGCTCGGCGGAGGGGTCTGAATCCAGACCTAGCAACACAAGAGCTTTGGAGCTATTCTTGTCTCTTGCCAGAGTCATAGAAGAAATATTCACATTTGCGTTTCCAAACAAGGTCCCAACACGTCCCATCTGGCCGGGGCAGTCATCTTGGCTGTAGCACAAGATAGTGCCCTCTAGACACAAGTCAACCTCGAAGCGACCAATGCGAGTGACATGCGGCTTCCCATTGACAACACGACCTTCTATGACTGGGCAGTCCTTGACGGTGACGACGACTTCATTAGAGCCGTCAAAAGAGGGAGGAAAGTGATTGGTCTCTGCGAGGTTGAGGTTATGGACTGCGGCGACGCTCTCAGCGTTGACGATACTGATGGGCAAGCTAATGGCAGGTTGCATGAGTCCCTTAATCAGCCCTGCACGAAGAATTCTAGTGTCGCCGGCACCAGGGATGTGATAATCGACGGCGACTTCGCCTTGAAGTGCCTCGCCAGACATGTAGTAGGTGAGTCTGCCCAGACGCTCGCAGAGCTGGGCGCGAGGCTTGAGGGCCTTAAGTACTTCTGGGGCCATGGCGGGGGCGTTGATCATGGTAGCAACCATGTCGCCATTCAAAGTGTCTCTGACAGCGGTGGCGATTTCCACGGCCACGTCCTCCTGAGCCTCGCGTGTACTTGCGCCCAGATGGGGGGTGGCGAGAACCTTGGGATTCTGGACAATCTTAGCTGAGATAGAACCGGGATGCTTGTGCGGCGGCTCATACTCAAAGCAGTCCAGGGCGGCTCCGGCGCACTTGCCAGACTCGATTGCTGCAAGAAGCGCTTCTTCCACGACAATACCACCCCGGGCGGCGTTGATGATGCGCACACCTTGCTTCATCTTGTCAAATGCGGCCGCATTTAGCAAGTTGCGGGTGGAGTCGATGAGCGGGATATGGAGGGTGATGAAGTCACTACCACTGAGAACCTCATCGAACGGGACGAGAGTGACGCCTATAGCCGCGGCCGCCTCCTCACTAGTGAAAGGGTCACTGGCGATGACCTTCATGCCCAGGCCACGAGCCCTCTTGGCCACCTCGCGGCCAATACGCCCCAGGCCGACGATACCCAAAGTCTTGTCAACGAGGCTGGCGCCCACAAAGGCGCTTCGGTTCCAGCCTTCGCCCTTGATAGTAGCATCAGCAGGTCCAATGAGCCTAGCCATAGAGCACAAGAGGGCAATAGAATGCTCAGCGGCAGCGACACAGTTCCCCGTGGGAGCATTGACGACGAGGACGCCGCGCTCGGTGGCGGCGGGAATGTCGATGTTGTCAACACCAACGCCAGCACGGCCGATGACCTTGAGCTTTTTGGCGGCGTTGATGACCTCTTTGGTCATCTTGGTGCCCGAGCGAATGATGATTGCGTCATGATGCGGGATCTCCTCCAGAAGGGTTTCGGGGGTGAGGTCGAGCTTCTTGACGACGGAGAAGGTGTTCGACAACAGGGCAATACCTTCCTCTGAGAGCTTCTCGGGCAGCAGGACAGACATGGGCTCCACCTTGACGTTGGCGGGGGAAGCTTCTGTACGCTCCGGAGCGCTGACCATGCGCACGAGACGGATTGATCGGGCGCGGGCTGGGGCCCGTAGCGGGGAGAGCTGGGCACGCGAGGGACGGAGGGTCAGCGGAAGTGATGCGACAAAGGTGATGCCCATTTTGGAAGAAGTGGAGGTGCACGGCAGGGGTTGAAGGCCTGGGGAGGGTGGAGGGGGGGG